AGGTGCATAGCCAGTGGTACTTGGATAAACTTGTTAAATCATCTAAAGCCTTCATCCGTCTTAAAGCAGCCAGAATGATCCAATTCTGAATTATCCCAGACTATAGGTTTGACTTTGGTCAAGGCAACAGGAGTAGAGTCCACATGGAGCAAATGGTTAAAAGTGGGTAGGACCCTGTTTATTGTGCTTCTTAACTACCCCCTTCGTACAAGGAATGGCCAGGGTTACCATCCACTAGCGGCACGGCAATCAAATGCAGGTCAGCAAGATTTGTAGGCGAGGACACTACCCCTGCACCACACAGTGTGTGTGTTTGTAATTGTGTTTAGTTTTTGTGTTTGTATGTAGCTAAGCTCAGGGGGTCCAGTCTGCTATATGAAAATTAGTCATATTACCTTTTAAATTTGGCACATTATATGGGTATTATTCCATATTTCAGTAGTTAGGTTTGGAAAACAACTTTTTGACACCCATATAGACTCTTTTACTTTCAACGTTTTACCATGTCTTCACGTTCTTGTATTCAAAATTATAAAGCCATCTTTACCTAACTTCCTTATTTCTGTAACACAGCTGTATACCATAATCACGTCACCCTTCCTTCTGCCATCCTAAGTAGTAAGTCCTATTTTCTGTAGTCTTTCTGGAATTCATCTCTCTTAGAGTTAGGGATAAGAAAAAGATAATCTGAATATAAATTTGAAAAAGCTTTATTATCCATCTATAGTAACCTTCACCAGGACAATTATCACAAAGAAGTAGTTAAAATAGACACATCAGGTTGCAGAACTTTTTGGTACACTGTCGTTAGTTTACAGCTTACAGTATATGTGCAATATCGGAAAATTCATATTAGGCTTATGAATGAAACGGAAATAAAATAATTGGTGTTTTTTTATTAATCCATAATTTTTTTTCTTGATAACATCCTGGGAAATTATGATCATCCATGTGTTTGGACCAATAATAAACCAAAGTCTATTTTTTATTTATTTCCCCCCCCCCCTTTTCTGAAATCAGCATCATTTTGTGTATTTTCTCAGTGGTAGATTTTGTTTTTTTGTAAATAAAACAGGTTTACCCAAAATTAAATATTTCAACATAGCACACAAATCAAAAAAAATGAATTCAACAAAACTTTATTTTTGGTGGCTGTATTTAGCACCAAATAACTGCAGAAAACAATATATTTCTCTTTTTTTTTCATCCATCTAACATTTAACAATCAAGGAAGCAAAAGAATAATCTTTTGGTATATATATATGATATGAACCTAAACCTCTTAAGTACAATTTTCTGTAACTTTTGACAATACAAAATAAAGGAAAGATGTTCACAAATATATGTCTGTATAAATAAACAACACAAGTAAAGCTTATACAAACATATATTTCTGTATCTGCATGCACACACACACATACAGTCAACCACCTTTGTAAACGTGTACTCACAAACATCCACACACATTTGCATGTAAGCTGAAGCACATCCTGATTTACTCTCAAGTTACAAGCATAGATTGGTAATACATTTTATCAAGCTCTTTTTGGACAAAATATCTAATATAACACTACTTTTAATAAGGCATACCATTCAAGATTATGTTTTACTTGTAACTGTACAGATTTTTCTATCATATAACCTATGACTTTTGATTGCATGCTATGCAATGAGATAAAGAACTCAAAAGATCTGTATCACTATTATTTTAAATGTGTTTTGCAAATGCAACACATTGTATTAATGAGGGAAAGAACAAAAACATATCTGTCATTATTAAGTGCTTGCCAATCTGATGAAGCCTACCACAAAGGGCCAAATTTTGCAGAAATTTTAAACAGCAACTACACTTTCAGATCTTAGCATAAACATCACAAGCTGCATAAATCTAACAGATAGATATTTAATATACTGTACACAAACTATACACTAAAGGCAGTCTTATTTTTCGTTTAATATAGCAAGGCAAATTTATAATGCATGTAACATCATATTATAAGTAGTTCATTGTCTTTCTATGTTAATTTTACTACCAATTATCAACATTGAAAAAGATCAACAGCAAAATTTCTCACTAAAACACTATAGCACCAATTAGAAAGAAACCCTATTGCCCTACTGAATTTAACAAACCATTTATTATAAATGAAGGGAAGAAATGACCAATACCCTTTGGGATGACTATCAATGTCGGTTGTATATTCCCATTCAATAGTTAGCATTTACTTTTTAGGTTCTCTAAACACTGGTATTAGGTGAACAATTATTAAAGATAATTCTTCCCCAAAAAGTCACAATCAAAAATGTTATTACATGACCTAAGCCCCAAAACACAGGTGAACAATTATTAAAGATAATTCTTCCCCAAAAAGTCACAATCAAAAATGTTATTACATGACCTAAGCCCCAAAACACAATGTAACAACTCACATAATCTGAATGTCTGGATGGGATGTAGAGCAAAATGTGACAAAACTTTGTTTGTAAATATATTACAACATGGTTTATAATAAGGACTTCAACCATGTGATCAGTGCACTTGAAAAATCAAACCAAAAATTACTGGGAAACGTATTTAGTCAAGATTTAGCGCCATTCATGTATGAAAGATTATAAATATACTGCTGCCTAAGCTGTATTCTTTGTAATTCCTATTTACCTGAAGTTTTATAAGCTGTCCATTTAATGTTTCATACCTTGATTTGTTGGTAATAAAAAGACAATCCTTGCATCATTTCTAAGCCTTGTATTATTATCTTAATTTGTCTTCAATGAAAATTAAAGATCACAAGCAAGGTTAAATTTTTCCATTCAAGAATGAATGATGCCATTTAAGTGGTTAACCAAATTCTTCTTTCTTTTCTGTTGAGAATTATCTTATCCTCATTCTTACATTTTACTTTAAGGAAAGTAAGGTTGTTTTTTTAAATAATTCTCACTATACATCTACACAGCAGGCTGTTGCTTCTCTTGTTCCTGAGAATTTTTTTACTGCAACAAATACGTAATAAACTGTTTTCACCTTTTCTTTTTTCAGCAAAAGCTCCAAAAATCAGGCAAACATTAAGTTACAGTAATGTGTGAAAAAGAAAATAATTGCTGGACACATTTAAATAACAGCCAGAGTTGGCTATCAAATTGGCACACAAATCTGAACTAAATGGTAAAACTATGAGATTACTAAAGAATGAACACGCACAGGCCTATGGGATATCAATCCACTCTTCCTGTCTACCATGTCCTACACACAACCATAATATATACTAGGGAGATGAGTGAGAGATGCAAGAGCACCCATCTTTTTTTCTTTTCTTTGAATGATGGGCACAGTGAATGGTGAAATTTATGAATGACAATAACAAAAATAAGCTTGGAAAATTTTCTATAAAAAAACTAACCTAAAGTAAAATGCAAGTACTTGTAAAAGCTCCTATTTGTGCTGTTATCTATAAGGCAAATATAAAAATAACCCTGGACTGAAGAACACACTACTTAAGGCCACACAATACTGAAATTTACTATGATTTTTATTTTTAACTAATTTGTGGTGATACCTAAAAGAAAAAATGAGGACTTCCATAATATCAATTTATATTTACCTACTTTCAAAACTCATTGTAAAGAAAATGGATGAAAGTTACAATTTCATTATTTGTGTCAAGTGCCATAACTTCAGCAGCAGGAAAGCAGAAAAAGGGATTTTACAGAAGAGAGAACAGAATATTAATTAGTAGCCTATAAGCTGTTCTACCAAATAGCAAATTCACTGCTATTCATTGATTCTGGTATCAATGTGACCCTCAGTAAACATTATTGTACGACCAAGTGTGCAGGCCAAGTGTGTTTGCTCATTCCAGGCATTGCATGGGTAAAATTTTCTTTGTGTGTTATTATCTGCATTTTCCTTGTCTCGCAATTAACTGTTCATCAGCCTGTATTCTTGCCTCACCATTCCCATGTTTCAAAATAATCAAATCAAAACACTATCTAAACATATGCTACCAGTACTATCAGTTTTGCGAGAAAATCATACATCCATAGAAGCATTTAAAGCTAGCTTTAAAATCATACTTTTTTTTTCTTTTTAGTCTTAGCGATATCAGCCAGCTTAGTAATTCGGCGAAGGCTCCCTCGCCAACTTCCGACTCGGCCTAGCACACTTTGCCGTCCTCACTCCTCGTCATCGTCCGCAGCTGGAGCAAGGTCATACCACTGAGTCATTTTGCTGGCGTCAAGGAGGCCACAGTCCAATCTGACCTGAAAACATTATGAAAAATCAGTTAATTCTTACAAAAGCAACAAAAATTAATGTTGATGCCTCCTTTATGAAATATGCAGATGAATATGAATACTACAACAGCTGACTAAATGAAAGGTTCATAAAAAGTTCATGTTTTGTCTCAATTTATTAAGAAATTCTTGGAAATATCTTCTATCTTCATAACAAAATGCATAAATATGTTTCTCCTGCCAATTCAAGAAAGGTGAAATCAGGTAAGGTTACAATATCTATAAACTGACTCCTTTGTGGCTAAGCACTAGCAGAGCCATCTATTTACAGAGATAGTTCACAAAAAATAAAAAAAATGAGCACAGTATTTTCCCCATTATTTATTAATTTCACCCAGCGACAATGGGTTTAATTAATCTCTCCAAACCACATAAAAAATTTCATAAAAAAACATTAATAAATAAATTACCTGTGACTGGACTGGCTTCCAAGTGCTTCAGAGAGATGAAGTTTATTATTTCATATAAAAAAAGTAGAATGTAGTAAATAAAATTTCCTCACCTGACCCATCTTCGGTGATCGTTGCAGGAAGAGCAGTCCCTTCTTGTTGATGACATTAACTTCAAGAGTGCGCTGTGTCAGCTCATTGGGCGGGATAGGATACTCAAAACGTTCGTCATACTTGGGATTGCAGTCGTCCTTTATGACATCAGTTTTTCTCTTGCTGTCTTTGGAGCGGTCTGGTAGGAGGTACAACTTCACGTAGGGGTCAGGCAGCTCTCCATCCTCCTCCTTTGGCAAATTCCTGGGAGGAAAGAGGAGTTATTCTGTAAATAATCTTTACAGAAAAATTTACAGGACAAGAGAAACAATTGCAGTCCAACATTCATTCCTTGTATTCAGCAAAATATAAATTTCTACATACAATACTTGTCTTGAAATATTCCTGCACAGAGGAAAACATCATACATTTTCCTATATACTAAATATATACTCACTCAATCTGATGTACAACAATGATGAGATTGTTCCTTGGACCATACTTGACAGTCAGCTGAACACGGCCAAGCCCATGTATCCCAGCATTGCTTGCAGGCCTAAGGGATTAGTATGACAAAATAAAATGTCTATTCTTTGATTTCAATTTGCTTAATAAAGTGTATGAAAAATTTCACCTACAAATCCAATATCAGTTTTCTTAACAGTTTTACAATACTATTACCTCTAATAGCAAGTTTATAAGCAAGTTACAAGTTTCACTATTTCACACAATAAAAAACAAAAAGACCAACGTTGTCCTCTGCCTGATGGATGATTCTTCGCTGGATGTTGCTGAGGGGAACATCTGCATCAGAGGAGTAGCTGCTGTGGACATCACCTCTTCAACAGAAGTAACCTCTGCGGGAGGCTCTATGCCCCCTCCTGGTGCTGGAACAGACACATCTGGAACACAAGTCCTAATAACCAAAGGGAAGGCCATTCTTCCTCTAACAAGAGTTAATTACAATGGAAGGAAAAAGCATCTCTCAACATCACAAGGATATTAGTCTGATGCACATTCAGGTACTAATATAGATCAAAATATGTTTAAAGCTATTAAGAATCATAAAATAAACAGTGTGCACCAAATAGCTGTGCACTAAATTTTTAAAATCAATCACAAGATCCAATTACTGAGTGTGCATCAACTGCTTAAAAATGTTTAAACATCTCAATTAAGAACCCATACATCCTTAAAAGTAAAAAGAGAAACACCAATAATCTACATATTGAATCCCAGACTGATTATATATATATAAATATGCATATATATATGTATATATACAAACATATATAATATATATATATATATATATATATATATATATATATATATATATATATATATATATATATATATCTATATCTATATATATATATCTATATCTATATATATATATATATATCTATATCTATATATATATATATCTATATATATATATATCTATATATATATATATATCTATATATATATCTATATCTATATATCTATATATATCTATATCTATATATATCTATATCTATATATATATATATATATCTATATATATATATCTATATATATATATATCTATATATATATATCTATATATATATATATCTATATATATATATATATCTATATATATATATCTATATATATATATCTATATATATATATCTATATATATCTATATCTATATATATCTATATCTATATATATCTATATCTATATATATCTATATCTATATATCTATATATATATATATATATATATATATATATATATATATATATATATATATATATATATATATATATATATAATACACATATATACTATATGAAGGTATGGGCTCTACTTGATTGTAAGCTTTCATGCATCTTGCATCCTTTTTTATCAGTGCATTTCCTTGCCATATTTCATATGCAATTGAAGCTGAAAATGTTTTCACAGTTACCTCTCATTTGAAATTAAAATGTGTGAAATTACTATGACTATGTAAATAAAACATACAATATCCTTTTCTTACCATGTCAAACAATAAAATATGTATTCAAGTGTAATGAAAAGTACCCAGACATAGCAATAGTATAGAGACAATATTATAGTGTCATGTATTGAGGAGGAAAGTGGAAGGAAAAAATTTAAGCTTTGCCTGAATAAAATATTCTGACGGAAACTTGCTTTAGAGTACCACATGTATTACAGGACACTAATTCATATATGAATCATGGGAAAATTCCAACTAGTTTTAGACAGGACTGGGCACATATTTAGCAACTAACTGTAATTATGGCATACAAAGAAAACCCAGTAACTAGATAAGGAATGGTTTTTTTTTGTGACACTGAACAAATGGAGTATAGCAGGATTAAAAAAGGATGCAAAACTTTATGACCTTCCTATGGTTAAAGTCTAAACCTAAGAGGTGGACAGTACACAGAATTACATTTCTTAACCTATTTTTACTTCATTTATTTTCCTCATGTAAACATACTTTAATCAAAGAAAATTTCTTCTTTTTTTTCAAAACCTTCTTTGAAGCTCTTGAGACTGTAATATTTCTGGAAAATAACAATTTATACAGCATTGCCATTTAGTATCTGCTCAAAAAGCTAAGCTACACATAACACCACACTGCAAGCAGTTTTTGTATTTCAGCATTAATAAAGACCTTATCAAACAAATACTTAGAAGAGACAAAAAATATGCATAATATACAAACTGCCTGATAAATAATGGACACAAACCAAGAAGATGAAAAACACAGAGGATGAGATAGGCTAAGCTTACTCCAGTAGATGTTACTGAAGCACATGGGAGGAGGGGGGAGGAGGGTGCACACCATGCAGGGAATCAAGCCCAGCTTCTATGACCCCTT